TTTTTATTTTTGCCCTATTATATATTTAAGGACCATGCCCTTGTCTCTCTAAATGTGAATTTTACATGACATTAGATAATAGCTCTTGCCCAACAATTAGAGAACAGCCTCCTGTTGGGTACACTGTGAAAGAAAGTGGTAATGGAGACATTCAAGATTCAATGGGATGATCAAGAATTCAAGACTCAAAACGAGAAGTGAGTTTGGGCAGGAAGCACTGAACGGGGATGACTGTTTCGGAAGAAGGCTCAAATCATGCTTGTGCAACTTGATCATATAATATATTCGCATCTATGTTGTTTGTCCCATAATTTTTCATTTGACCATCTCTTCAAAATTAAAGTAGTAGTACTATTAAAATTATGCAAATCTTTTTGCTCTCCACTTGTTGTATTCAACCTATCAAAAAGAAAAATGAGAAAATATAGATGACATGATTAAACACCTATACATTAATTCAACTGTCTCTAAAAAATTGAAGACCAACTATGTAATCTAACCAACCAAGATCTACGGTGGACAATTCCTTTCTATTTAGGTAATCTTTTCTTAACAAAAATAAAAGATTTTCAATTGAAATTGTACTATATTTGAAAGGATGAATCATTAAGTGAAAACCTTAATAAAAAACACTTTTAAGAGATTTTGTTTTACTTAATTAAATTACAAATTAAGAACCATTAAATAAAAAAAATATTGAATATTTATTTAATAATTTAAATTATATAATTTAATGAATAGAGATCTATTTATATATAAAATCTTAATATTTATTTGTCAACTTTTAATAGTTAAAATTTATCACAATTATTTATATAAAAAATAATTATATTTAATAAATGTAAATAAATTTTAATTATTAAAAACAAAAAATAAAAATTTTATATAAATATAATATATACAATTTATATATAAATAAATCTTATTTTAATTTAATATATTTTTAACTGCACAACCCTTAGGAATACTTCCAAAAACCCCAAGGTCACAATCGTTTTTACATTTTTGGAAAAAAAAAAATTGCAAATTCATTTTGTCCCACCCTAATTCTCCAACGGTTTTTCGAGTCATCCAATTCTAGTCTCAATCAAATCATAGGATATTGCTCGTGCCAAAATTAATGTAACTCACTGTCGCATTTACACTACTGCCAGTATTATGACCAAACAAACAATTATTAAGATTTAGTCTGTTTTGCATTTTCGACCACTAATATTAATTTTTTATTTTTAAAATATATAATTGTAATAT